AATACACACACACACACACACATTTTATATATATGTGTGTGTGTGTGTGTATTTTTAGTATTTTTTTCCTTTTCATTTTGTTTTATGATTTTTTAATGTATTTTGTTTTTGCTTAAATGAACTGAATAAACTAAACTAAACTAAACTACTGACAGGACCGTTAGAGGAGACACCTGAGAGACGTACTCTGTCTTTAATTGCCTCCTTCCTGCGGCTCAGACACATCTCTGCGGCTCTCATGTGCTGCAGCGTTTCTTTAGCTAACAGGAAGCGGAGTTTCTCCAGCCTGGGAGCTGCAGAGGCCCAGGCTGCAGGTCCAAACCGACGCTTGTCCTCCTCCATCTGCTTCACCAAACCTGCACAACAACAGAGTCTGAGAGCTGAAACAGCTGCAACATGGAGCACTAACAACAGAACCAGCTAAATAAACAACAACAACATCATCTACCTGCCAAAGCCTTTGAAGTCTGAGCAAAGTAGGTGACGGTGATGTCCTGGATGGAGGCGGCTGCTTCTTCTGCCTTCATCCTCCACTCCTCCGCCTCCTTCTCCAGAGCTGCAATTCTCTTTGGACCCAAATCCTCAAACTCCAAAGATTTCTGCAGGAAAAACAAACCCAGGTCAGTTTACTCCTGAGGTCTGCTCCACAGCTTTAACAAGCTCGTTTCATGTTTATTCAGAAGTAAAAACTGAGTAAATACATCCTCAGTAATGTCTGCTGAAATGTAGTTTTGTGTTTACCAGAATCTCCATCTTGTACAGGCTGGCCAGTTCCCTCATGTCTCTGAAAGGCTGCAGCAGGAAGTGGAAGAAGGTGGTGGCCACCGTCACCAGGTCCTGGTAGGCTGYGTCTTCCTCTTCGTAGGTTCTGAGCAGCGCCACCATCCGGTCCGATCTGCTGTGACTCTGCAGCAGCTGGAGATACGAAACATGGAGGCAACCCTGCGTGAGCTGAWCCTGAGCTCAGTGACGCTAACCTTTAGCCTTTAGCCTCTGATAGCGCCAAGTGATTAGAACAACTSAAGTGTTTACAGGGAACATTTTGGTTTTGACCGTGTGGGTCAATAAACGTACAGTTACTGAACTTTACAAGATGCAACATGAGAGGACTGAAAGAAGGAGAAAACCAGCCCAAAACCTACAGAACAGAAGCCTGAAAGCAGCTAAAGAACAGCCTGAAACAAGCTAAAGAACAGCCTGAAAGAAGCTAAAGAACAGCCTGAAACAAGCTAAAGAACAGCCTGAAACAAGTTAAAAACAGCCTGAAACAAGCTAAAGAACAGCCTGAAACAAGCTAAAGAAATGCCTGAAACAAGCTAAAGAAACACCTGAAACAAGCTAAAAAACAGCCTGAAACAAGCTAAAGAAATGCCTGAAACAAGCTAAAGAAATGCCTGAAACAAGCTAAAAAACAGTCTGAAAGAACCTAAAGAACAGCCTGAACCAAGCTAAAGAACAACCTGAAAGAAGCTAAAAAAAACAGCCTGAAACAAGCTAAAAAACAGCCTGAAACAAGCTAAAGAACAACCTGAAAGAAGCTAAAAAACAGCCTGAAAGAAACTAAAAAACAGCCTGAAAGAAACTAAAGAATAGTCTGAAACAGCTAAAGAACGGCCTGAAACAAGCTAAAGAACAGCCTGAAACAAGCTAAAGAACAGCCTGAAACAGCTAAAGAACAGCCTGAAACAAGCTAAAGAACAGCCTGAAACAAGCTAAAGAAACGCCTGAAACAAGCTAAAGAAACGCCTGAAACAAGCTAAAGAAACGCCTGAAACAAGCTAAAGAAAAGCCTGAAACAAGCTAAAGAACAGCCTGAAACAAGCTAAAGAACAGCCTGAAACAAGCTAAAGAACAGCCTGAAACAAGCTAAAAAACTGCCTGAAACAAGCTAAAAAACTGCCTGAAACAAGCTAAAGAACAGCCTGAAACAAGCTAAAGAACAGCCTGAAACAAGCTAAAAAAACAGCATGAAACAAGCTAAAGAACAGCCTGAAACAAGCTAAAAAACTGCCTGAAACAAGCTAAAGAACAGCCTGAAACAAGCTAAAGAACAGCCTGAAAGACACCTGAAAAC